CATGTCCCATTATCTTCAGCTGCAGATCTTATTGATGGCTGGGCAAGGCTGAAACACATTGCTCTTTAGCACTTCTCTACACAGCCTTCCTGAGAATAAGGGGCATGGATCAACTGGTGAAAAGCAATTTTCACTTTTTAACATTTCAGTGTCTTTTTGCTATAAACAAAATTTGTTACACATGTTCTGTATTGTGACAAAAATCTACTAAGGTCTATCTACTACAGGAAGATTTCTGAAAAGTCCAAAACCAATGGCAATTTTTACAACACAAAGACATTTATAGATAAGTCTGAAACTAACGAAAGCAAAGTTAACAGATGGGGTTTTACTGCCAGTTCAAAACTGGGAGCTAAAGTACAGCTTGATGTTATTAATGATTCTTTTCAAATTTTATTTAAAAGAAAAAGGAAATTGTCTATGTTTAATGGTGTGGTTATTTACAAGCTGCGCTTGGTGCATTAAAGCACAAATAAAAGACACCCCCTCTGCCAAGAAGAATTTGTGATCCAATTTTATATCTCCCAGATGCAAAAAAAAAAAGGTGGAACAGGGCTAGAAGAAAAGACTTTACAACACCAAACTTATGCAATGTATTTGAACCATTCATATTTCTTTTTATCTCACCTACAAATTTCTTGTTTCTCTTGCCTGGATACTTATCTCATTTACATGATGCAGTCATGTGGCAAAGAAAAATTGACTGATAGAACTTGAATTGGATGGGATTTGTGTTTTCTGAAAAAGGGAGTCTTTGTCTTACAGAACTATGGAATACTTTGGCAGCTAGGAGGGAGGAAGGGTGAAATGGGTGGGACACACAACACCCAAAGAAACTTCAAAGGGCCCAAAGATGAAAAAATTAAGGGAAATTAGAAATAGAAGTTAAGCAAGGACATCTGATAGGTAGGTCCAAGCAGAACTGTGCGGAGACTTTTAAAAAATACACTTAATAGTCAGAAGAATAACTGGAAGATGTCATGACATGGAAAGGTCAGTAAAAGGATAGACTTGATGAAGTGGAAGAAGTGTGGAGAACAGAAATGGGGGGGTGGGGGTGAGTATCCTGTGGAGAAAATGACTGTACCCAAGTAATGTTTTGATCACAATGGCAGTGGTAGGTGGATTTACAAATGGACTCACTAAGGAAAAATCAGAAACATTTCAACTCCTCCAAGACTGACAAAAATCCATAGCAAATTGTCACTGATGTCATCCTTAGGAATAAAAAGGCCATGGTAATTTTATCTTTTTAGATACTCATTTTTAACACAGTAAATTTGCTCTTGAGCCTGTTTGTGAATACAAAAAAAGAAAGAGAAGGATGAAACCAGGAAAAAGCAGGACTCTCTAGGTAGCTGTTACTCTGAGAGGCTGTATGAATTTGCCTCTTTCTGGAATGTTTATAAATTCTGAACATGCAGAGCAGACTGCTCCTGTTTCCACATTTAATGAGCTTGCTTTTTGACTTCTGTATGACCTTGCTTAAGTACTTTTTTCTTAAAGAAAGATGTCTGGATGCTTACTTCTAGTAAGTTTAGTGGAAAAGAATCATATAATTTCTTGGCTCATGCGAATTCAGAGCTGTAAGGTTATTTGCAACTCTTTGTCTTAGGCTTACTGTTTTACCTTTGGGCAAGATAGAGTTTCCCTTTGTCTCTGAAACCCTGTTTTCAAAAGGGAACAGATCCTCTAGTAAAGTTGTTGGTGAAACAAAAACCACTAGATACCTTGAAATACCAGCATTTAAAATGCTTCAGAAGTGCTTAACTGTGGCACAAATATAAATTTTACTTGACAACAAAGGGATAAGAGCAGGATGGGTTGAGGAGTGAAGATTAAAAGAATGTTCTCAGCTAAAGACAAAAAGAAAAATTTGTTAATTCATGTATACATTTTGCAATTTGCATTGACATTTATATTTTCTCTACCTCTCATGTATTGAAATCTCTTGCTTGTCCTATAATCAAAGCATTCCATGGTCTCTCTGTAGAGTGTCTTGGCCTTTCTTCTGCTTTCCACATGTATGTCAAGTGCTAGCAAAACCATCACAGGCTCTAGAAAACATCCAGACTCTTTTCCCATCTCACAGTACGATTTGTTGAAAAATAACAGAAAATAGTTTAAAAACAGCAGAAACAAGACAGGCTACAAAAGAAGGGTAATGAAAGTAGGTACAAAGAAGAAGCAGGGGTACATTGGTGGCTGGACAAGAGTGCTGGGTGTTGTTCTTGGGTTTCCAATATGGGAAGGAAATGGTCATTTTGAACAGAGTCCAGCAAATGCCCACTGAGATAAATAAGGAAATGGAGCATTTCTCCTGTGAGGAAAGGCTGAGGAAACTGTGGCTGTTAGGAGGTTCAGGGGAATTTTACCCATGAGTACTGGTATCTGAAGGGAGGGTGTGATGCATATGCAGCCAGGCTCTGTTCAGTGGTACCCAGTGAAAAGCCCAGAGGCCATGGGCAGACCTTGAAACACATAAGGCTCCAGGTGGTTATCAAGACACACTTTCTCACTCTGAGAGTGACCAAACACTGTCACTGGTTGCTTGGAGAGCTTATGAAGTCTCTATTCTTGGAGAGGTTCAAAAGCCACCTGAACATGATCCTGACAATAATCTTTAGATTGCTTCCTTCAGCAGGGGACTTTGACCAGATGACCTAAAGTGGTCCCTTCCAACATCAGCCAATATGGAACTCAGTGATTAAGGAAACTAGGAGGAAATTTGGAGGTCAAATGAAACTTAAAAAGCACTAACAGAACCCCTACAGAAGATGTACAATTTGTGAAGTCCATAGATTTTGTGTAAGGAGACAAAGCAAATGTTTGGACTAAGATTAGGAGACCTCAAAAGGGTCAGATACAGAAATCTTATATGATTCTATCGGTTCTTCAACAAAATCAAAACTAAACAAGAAAAAAAAGTACAACAAAAAAACAGAACAAACCAACCAACCAAATAGAAAAAAACCAAACAGACAAAAAAAAACAAAAAAAAACAAAAAAAAAAACAAAACAACCACCAACCAGCCAGCCAACAAACCAAAAAAGTTGAAATAAATACAAAGAAGATATAAAGTGTAGCTATCATATTCTCAAATATTCTCATACAGTTAAAATTAGTAGGGTATCAAATGAAGTGGAAAATGACTGTAGCTAAGTGTGATTACTGTTCATAGCAAACAGGATTTTAACTTGATAAACATGAATATATTACTCCACTGTACATTGTGCAATAATGAGAAATGTTGATGTTACACATGCATCAAATTTCAGATCATGGTGTAACAGAACAATCCTTAGCAATGCAGAGCAATGTGCAGAAGCTCAGAAGACCTCCACTGAAGAAGTCGTCCAATGGGAAATCCCCCAAATTATTCCATCCAAAGTGCTTATTCTAAAAGGTATTGTGAAAGCTGAACTTGCAGAAAGAAAAAAAAGATCAAATGAGTAGCTACACAATAGAACTTTTTCTTCCTCATCTCCTCCTCTTATAGAAAGAGAAGAAATGCTTTCTGAGTCTCAGAGAACTGCTTCCCTGTGTTTTCATATGAAGAGGCCAAATCTTGTCCATTCACTGCTATTCCAGGGTGGTAAGGGAGTTTTTTAGAGCGGGGCACACCCACAGTACCAGGAAGAGAAATACTGTCAATTTTCAAGATGTGAAGGAAAACCTGCAGTACCACATAGCATGAAAGCTCCTCATCTATTTTCCATAGCTGGTGCCATCATTTGGCACCAGTCCTGTAAGCAGCAGGAAGCTTGATGGTCTTAACTACACCTTAGCACAATATTAGCCTCAATTTTTGTGAATCTGAAAGCAAGAGAGGCACCCACTTTGGAGCTTTGAACTCATTCATATAATTTAGTCCCTTCCAAAATTTCATTTTCAAAAAGTGCGAAAAATTAACACCTAAAATAGTAATCAGGGATGTCTCGGTTTTCAATCCAAGAAGTCCAATCTAGTATCCAAGGTCACTAGTCTGAAGCTTCTATGTGACATGTGCTATAACTAAATATATGTACTAGTTTGCATCTATTTGTGTTGCAAGCCAATTGAATTTGGAAGCGATTTGCATCTGCGTACTTACATAATTTAACAACTTTGCCCATTCTCAACTAGCTTATTTTTAACTTGCTTCAGCAATTCAGAAATGGTAAATAGTTACTGCTTACACTGCATTAGTGTGCAGTCTACTGCATTCAACTTTGCAAATAGGACTGAGCCATCATTGGAGACTCCACTGTGAGTTCTTTGCTCCAAAGAAGTTTAAACATGAAAGGATGAACAGAAATGAAACAACAGCACTAAGCAGTGACTAGCCTTATTCATCATATTCATGTCCTCTCTGTTAGACTCATAATGCCTCTCAAGTGTTGAACATTTTTTTCCCTTAACTTTTGCATTTAACTTTCCTCAGCTCATTTTGTGCAATTTCTTTTTAACTTTTAAAAATATCATTTGACAAATTTTGAGGATCTAAACGTTTTTCCAACAGACACGTTTGTTAAATTAATTTCTAATTCAAAATGTCATACTTTTGCACTTCATGCATTCAAAATGTCATATACAAGTGCCGTGGCAGCAGACTATGGAAATCTTGGCTTGTGGAGGGAAGATGGGAAGGAATATAGTAACAGATGCTCACACATATTTATAGACTATTGTACATAGAGACAGACACACAGCAGGTAAGGCTAGGACAGAAAGGGATGCAGTTCTTCTCTAGAGCCCCTTCATGATCATGTAGAGCTGCTAAAATACTGCTGGTTACAATATGACTTTAAGCTTATTTTCCAGTATGGCTGGAAATTTCCAGTTTTAGTCAGACAGTCTGTGCCTTCCTAATACCAGGTCTGCTGTCTCCTAATGTCACAGCTAACCCTGCTGCAAAGAGTCCTGCAACGCTGTGCTGTTAACAGCAGATCTGCTGATCTGCTGCAGGGTGAGCAGAGAGGGCCAGGGCAGCAGCATGAAACAACACCTACTACTTACGGAGCTCAAAGCCATTTATTTGGCTCGTTCCAGCCTCTCCATGTAGCTCAGTGGTCCAAAATAGCCAAAAAAGTGTTCTAATACTTATGCACTTGGCAGTCCTGGAAGTATTTGCAGTATTGGTCTTTTACTCCTCTCCATGCTCCCCCTTTTCCAGACTGGAAAGCCAGACTTCCACAGGAATAGCCTCTGGTTGTTGATGGCAGGTGGCAATGACCATGAAGTAGCTCAAAGACTGATCTACAATCTGCCAGCCTTTACCTGAAATTGCTTCAGTTGCCAGCTTCTTCAGGTAGGGCCTCTAGAGTCTTCAGAGTGTTTAAACACTTTCCTAGTGCTGATTTTTGATTTAACCAGTCACAGGTGCCCACCAGAAACTGCATTAAGATTTTATCCCTGGGACTGTGCAAAGCAAATAGATTCAGGTGACGTGAAGACGACTACAACCCTGAAATGTAAAGAGTAGATTTATTCCATCTTGTTGGCTGGAGGATTATGAAAACCAAGTGGAGACACTTGCACTGCTAAGTTAGTTTTATCAGGGACAAAAAAGGACAAGGCCAGAGCCCTGCATATCCAAGAGCCTGGAGCATGCACAAATCTTCACCAGGCTGTGTTCTACAATCTCAGAACACTCTTATCTCCCTTCCCCACCTACAAAAAGGCCCCAGCCTGTGGGGAAGGCTTTTATGTCTTTAACAACATCTTGTTATCTACTCTGAGAAAATTCCATTTATTTTTCAGCAGACAGAAAACATCTCAAAGCAAACACAAGCACTGAATTTTCTCACACTGAGTATTTTCTAACATCTCCCATGTGCAGGGTTGGTCTTTAAAAGAAAACAGTTCTAAAAACAACTCATTTTTGTCTCTCCTTGCCAATCTTCAGTTTTTCAACTCTCACAGGAATAATTCTTAACAAAAATGGTGTATGTATTAAAATGCTTAGGAAGCTATTGTTTATGTGGTTTCAGTAACCTTCATTAAGATGTTTGGCTTTAAATAAATATTCTGTCTGAAAGAGAACCATAACATTTTCAGTACTCACAATCTAACTGAGGACTTCAGAAAATCTATTCTAGAGACAAAAGTACCTGTAAACTTTTATTTTTCCATATTGTCAGAACAGTATTGCAAATTTTCTCCCTAGAAACTAGGGTTTTTATACCAAAAAAAAAGTCAACAATCCAGGAACTTCTCAGTCCATTTCATCACAGCCTTGAGTGAAAATAGAATTTAGCACCCTTCCCCTTAAATACAGCTTCATGGTGGCAGAGAACAATAATGCGGACAGACAAAAAGTGACAACCTTTCTCACCTTGGGGCACTGCAAGACTGTATTTCACAAGATACAAAAAGATGAGAGAAAAGGTCATTTTTGCTGGCCTTTCTTTTTTTCTTTTTAATGTTTCTAGTCCTGAAATTCATCTGCAAAGCAAGAGTCTTACAAAAAAAAAAAAAAAAAAAAAAAGAGGTCAAACACGAGAAGGAAAAGGAAAACCTTCTTTTTTTACAAGCTGCTCCCCTAATTTTTATTATATTAGAGTTTAGATGCTAACTAAATCACTACTTTGGAAAACAAATTGATACTGGATCACTCAATACTAAATAATGTAACATGCCCTAGTAAATAGTAGGGCCATCATAGCTTTTTTGTGTGATTTCCCCAAGAATACTTATAGCAATTCAAGGTATATTTGGTGGTAAGAGTTTATGGAACAAGCTCAACACCAACAGCAAGCAGGAAAAACAAGCTACAACGATTACAATTCTTTCTGAAACCTTTAAGATAGTTATCTAGTATCTATCTTTTTATTGTACACGTGTGCACTATAATTCCAATTTTCTGTAACATTAAAAGTCAAAACTGTATTATGACAGGCACATAAAAATAAATTGATATAACTTTCCTGGATTCTGGACTTTGTCTGGCTCTCACATACTCCTATCAGTTGTATGCCTGAACTTGTCTCACACACAAAAAAAGGGACCTGTATAAATTAAAACTGAAGAACTATATTGAAAGAAAACCTCAAGAACAGTATCTAAAAGACAATGGTTGTTTAAATCTATCTGTAATTAGGGTGATTTATAATAAATATACATTCTGTGTACATGTACCTATATACATGCACCCTTGCACACACACCTCATTTTTGTATGTCCACATCTGCATGCTTTTAGCTGAAAATCTCACTATCCAATAGAAAATAAAGGATAATCTAAGCTAAAACCCAAGAGAAAGAACTGGACCTCTTGGGTCATTGGATTGTTAAGGCTGAAGAGAACTCTTAGGCACAAACTGATATTCCAGCTATATCTTTGTGAGATCACACACAGGGGATCTTTTTCCTCTCATCTCACAAAGAGTATAAACCTGAAAATCCTTGGGATATTACAAAGGTTCTCTAAGTCTTGGCCTGGAATATAATTTTGGAAGTGACTATTGATTACAGAAGCCAAATAGAGATGTAAGATGCCAGCCCAAATGGGTAATACAAATCACTGCTGCTATCACAGGCACAGAAACAAAAGGGCATGTCTGGGGTTTGAATGCGGCCCAGTCTCTAACGCGAAGGCACTGAGAATTCTGTGAGGTGATCCCCTTTACCATCAGATCTGTTACCACTTACTTAAATTAATTGGTGATTGTCCAGGTGTTTCAATATTAAAAAAACATGGAAACAAAAATGGAAAGGAAAACAAAGCATGAGAGAACAATCTCTTGTCTTTTCATACCAAATGCTTCAAGACCAAAGGTATAGGAATAATGTTCAAGAAAGAAAGGGTAGAGGGAGAAAACACAGAATTAAAAAGGAAGCATACCTTTGTAGTGAGATGCTTCTGAGGCTTATAGCTAAATCTGCTTCTTGTGGTTTACTGAACTCTGATCATTTTTCTTGAAGGATTAGTGGCAATTATCATTAAGGCTCAAGCGTTTAACTGTGACTGCTGCAATAAATCTTATTAAAATAACTGAAACATACTTTTTTTGCATGTGGCAACCTGTCTCTGAATCACGACCATCTGTACAGAGTTATTGCCTGGTGCACACAGATGGCAGTAAAACAACTATAAAGCTATACCATTCTTTAATCATAACTTCTAACACAACTAAACAAAGTGAAATTTGAGTCAGACCATTAGCATTTGAAAGACTATATGATGACTGTAATTAACAAGTACACTTCAGAATCCCTTTATAAAATGTTTTATTGATTTCTGATTGAAAAATAGTAACAACACTTGCGCTGGGCAAGTGTTTCCATCTTTGACAGCTGACTTAGAAAAATCATATGTTAACAATAGAATCTCAGTCTTAAAGTTTTTATACTGTACAGCTCCCTTACAGATTTAAAATGACAGTGAAAGGTAGTAGAATAATTTATTCCTTCTTGCTTAAGGCACAGAATCATGAATGCTTCAGGTCAGTAACTGCAGGGCTACACTAAACCCCTGTCACTCCAAATCAGTTACAAAGTGAGCATCTGTACTCTCTGCGTAGCCCTCAAGGAGGAAAAAAAAAACAACAAAAAACCCACAAAAAAAAAAACCTCTGCACAATGCGTACAAATGCTGGGGCTCTGAAACTGAACAGCTCCTAAATTAAGCCAACAGGCAGCTTCACAAACGTCTCTCTTCTGCATAATACCTGCTACATCCATCCATAACACCTGCTACCATCTATTAGATAAAAGGCACCTGAATATTTCTATTTCAGATGCCTGAGCTCATACCGTAATTTTGGTTGGAGGTGATTGGGAATTTATACTAGTGGCTGTTAATCCATTCAAGATCTTTAAAAAGCAATCATTGGACAGGTTATGAGACTTGTAAGACTATTACCAAAATATGCTCTCCCAAAGAGACATATTAATATTTCTGCCATAAACATGTCTTTGCTTTACCTAATAATGCTTACTTTTTAAATACTTCATCTTCTGTTCAATTCCAAAAAATCTATGGGCACCAAACTTCCTTCAATATTATTACCCCACTTTTTCCTAAAATAACATGAAGAACAGGGAATCACAAACAAATATGTTTCCATGGCTAAAGTATCCTCTGACCTGCATTAACTAATAACAGAATGCTTTTGCTCATTACAGAAGCAAAACAAAAGGCAAATCTTGTTGTATTTGAAATGAACTAGAAGCCTGCACATGGTCAGTTGCGTAGCTCTTGTGGAGAAAGGGAGCTTTTCAAGCCATGGTGACTTGCTGCAAAGCCATTAATATTCCAGAGAGCCTTTTAGCATCCTCTGGTTGGTTCATTGTGAAAAGAGCTCTCAGAGAAATCAAAAAGGATCTGCAGAAGGCAGCAGGTCCCCAGATAAAGGCTGCTTGTACTATGTTGTGAGATTGTCAAGCACCTGGTGAAAATGAACAAATTTAGATTTAAAGTACTTGAATAGGTTGTCTTGGTATTTAAATAGATAATTTGGTCTCTTAAAGTATGGATCACCTACAAAAACATTTCACGGAATATACAAAAGAGGTTTCATTAGCAAATTATTCACCAAAATGTCTACAATGTTTCAAACACCTTGTTCTTATACAGTATTAAACAGGCACATGTTTATCTCAGTCCTTTGTCAGTTCTGAGCACAAATAATAGGAGACAGATGTGGTGAATGTATATGTATCTTGTGAAGCATAATAGCAATTCCTTGATGGGCTTTGGGTAAGCATTTGCCCTCCCTGGGGCATATTTGAACTGTTTGCGATTCTTTGCTGCCAGCTACACAGCTTGCTACCTGTCAGGAACTGGAATTGGCAGAAAACAGCTGGTAGAAATCAATGGATGTGCCAGTTCTGGTTCATCCAGCAGAGATACTGTGGAACAGTGCCGCAATTCTGCTTGGAATTGGGCAGCACAAACAGGTTTTATTTGCTGATAGCTTCAGTACCTTCTCAGTCAGGGAATATTCAGGTTCAGATGATGTTAAGTGATTAGAAAGTTTTAAAACCTGAAATTCACATAGCAAATAGTAGAAGAAATCAGATGTAAACTGGGAAAAAGCCAGTTGCTCTATAAGTTACACCACAAATCCCATTGTGAGTCTGTGTCAGAAATGTCAGCACTGCTGTTGGATGTGTCTATCCTGGGAACATGACAGAAGAGCTCAGGGAGACTGTAGAGCTTTAAGGACTGCAGTCTTCAAATGCAAGAACAATCTAACTTAATACTCTGCAAAAAAGGTAGGAAAATAAGTAGCCCAGTCTGCCTTGGCAGATAACTCATGATAGAGCTCCAGAGCAAGAGTGGAAGGATGATGCAGGGACTGGCTACAACAAAATTTGGAAGCAGTTCCTGGGCATGGTATTAGGATGCTATAGGGGAAAACACCAGCTTAACTGGACATTTGCAAGGAATTTCAAAAGCAAAATGAGCTTTTGCTTTACATCAAAGTCCGAACAAAGAAAAAGTAGAGACATGTTTGAAGAATGTGGGTGATTCCCAAGAGCAGACACAGATGAGTATGAGTTACTCCATACCTTCTTTGCCACAGTTATCCCCATCAACTTCTCCCAGGCCTCCATGCTGAGGGACTAAAGCCAGGGGATGAGCATCAAGTCAGATGAGAGATTACCAGAGACAGCTTTATCCATAGAAATCCACCAGTCTAGACAAAAAGCATTCAAGAAATAGTGGTAAGTGGCTGATGTTCTTGCAAGACCACCCTCCACCACCTCTGAAAGATGATGGTGATCAGGGAAGATACCTGACAGTGGGAAATCAGCAAACATCACAGCCACCTTCAAAAAAAGACCAAAGGGGGCATTTTTTGAACATGAGGTTGGACTAATAACATCTTAAGATCCTTTCCAAGCTGAATGACCCCATAAACTTTTAATAGAGTAAGTAACACCTGGCAACAAATGTAAAAAAAGAAAAAAATAGGACTGAAACACCTTTACAATATATCTAAATAGATAAATGGGATAGATAGATAGACAGATAGATAGATAACTGTTTAGATAAAAAATACGGGTACATATAACCCTCTCTGTCACATTTTATACCTACAAACTGGTTTAGCATCACAGAGTTAGCTTTAAAAAGAAAGGGAAAAAATACCTGGAGAGAGAGGGGAGATCAATTTTAAAATACTTCTGTTACATCATCCCCTATCGGATGTACACACACTGCATAAGCTCCCTACTTATGTACTCTAGAGCTGAAAATTTCATTTTCACACAGGATACAAAGAAAAACATCTGCACATTGAAGGAGGAAAACAAAAATAACCCCTACATTAAAAAAATAGGAAGACTAGATCAGATTGGAATTAAATGTATTTTAATAATTTTATCACAGAAGTTTGCTTGGCCAGGCCAAGCAAAAACTAGAAAGAAATTAGGT